CCCTTGCCGCCCCCCTTGCCGCCCCCAGCCAATCCCCACACATTCCGCAGGATTACTACTGCTCATTGTCTTGGTGATCCTCGCCGCGCTGCCGTCGTCGTCGACGTGCTCCTATTCGCGGCTAAAGCTCACGACGACGACGCGGTCCTCGCCAACCAATAAGCGGGAGTAGCTGATGATGATGGCGTGGTGAGGGTGGTGGTTGCCGCCCGCGGCCGCCGCACGCGTAACCAGGAAGCGAACGGTGGAGCCGGAACCGGATGTAGCCCCGCCGCCACCCCCCGCCTGCGTGGGGGTGAGGTAAGGGGTGGCGGCACCGAGTGCACCGTTCCCCTTTATCGGCCTCGGAAACGACTCACGGCAACTGTTTGGGTAGTGCGGGGCGCGGCGGCCGCGGGCTCTGATCCCGGGGGGCGGTCTGCTGCGGGTGTCAGCAGGTGGGGGGTGGAAGGGGTGTGGCCCATGGCCAGGGCCAAGGGGTCGCCACTGTGGGCTGGGTGCCGCCGCGGTGCCTTAGGCCCCAGCAGGCTCGGGCGCCCCGGCGGCCGCTGGCCTGGCCAGCAGCAGGCACCTTTATTACACGCTTGCACTTTTAGATTGCCCGCGCGCGCTCTATTTCTGTCATTGCGGCGGGTTTGGCGCTCCGTGGCGGGGCGTGGCGGGGCGGGGCGTGTTCGCGCGCGAGCCTGGCGACGCGGTCGTCAGGGGGCGCCAGACAGCGGCGCGGGCGAGCGCGGGGGTTGCTAAGGGGGGATGCATATGCTCGCCGCGCCACTGGCGCAGTCTCAAATTACTGCGGACTTCAGTGAGAAAGAAATAAAGAAAAAATAAGAACGACAAAAATTACCTCCTCATCGCCTTTTAGTAATACGGACGGCGACTGAAAAAATCGGTCACCGCCAGGGTGGAACTTAATCGTCTGCTACTCAAATCGGAATTGCAAAGTCTCATGCTCGCGTCCTTTCTCATGTTTACAGCAAGCAGACTGCCATCGAGATCGAGCAGCTCAACGCCCGCGTGGTGGAGGCCGAGACCAAGCTGAAGACCGAGGTGACCCGCATCAAGAAGAAGATGCAGATGACCATCACCGAGCTCGAGATGTCCCTGGACGTCGCCAACAAGAACAACCTGCAGCTGCAGACCACCATCAAGAAGCAGTCCCTGCAGCTCACCGTACGTCCTTAGCATGCCCCCGCTACTGAGCGCTGTAGTACAAGGAGTCCTTGGTCGGCAGCGCCATGTTACCCCCCTTCACAGCGATGTTATACTGACATACCTATGTGATCCTCGCCAACCACAGGAGCTCCAGGCCCACTACGACGAGACCCAGAGGCAGCTGGCCGTCACCCTCGACCAGTACGGCATCGCCCAGCGCCGCCTGCAGTCCCTCACCTCCGAGCTGGAGGAGGTCCGCTCCAACTGCGAGACCGCCCTGCGCGCCAAGCGCACCGCCGAGCAGGCCTACGAGGAGGCCCAGAGCAGGATCAACGAGCTCACCACCATCAACGTCAACCTGGCCAGCTCCCGCTCCAAGCTCGAGCAGGAACTCGGCACCCTCGCCGGCGACTACGAGGAGGTCACCAAGGAGCTCAGGGTGAGTGTCTGGTAGGGACAGTCTTGAGGACCTTTGGTGGACTGTCGAGAAAGTGGAATAATCCCGAGGGGCCGCAACTTCCACCAATCGGTGTACAGATTTCAATCCAGTCATTTTCCAGTCCCTATCCAGTCATCCAGTCACCGAATCCCCAATCATCAACCAGGCGGATATTTTTGTCATAACTTGAAAGACAGAGGAGTACTCATTGTACTCTTGATATAATGTCACCAGTACATCTTATAGCAATTCAAATTAATTGGAGGATAAAATAAGCAGCAGACAATACTTTTTCACAATAATTATAATAACATAAATTGTTTTAGGTGAAGGTCATCATTTTTTATCTCCGTAACTTTCTTAAAATATTGGAGTTTGTGTTTTCACAATTCTTTCTCTGAACTAAGTAGTTGAAGAGAGAAAGGTGTAACAACAGAAACTAAATCAAGTTGTCATCACATAGGTTTTTACTGATATTACCTAATTTGGTGGTTAATTATTGATTGCCTGAAAGAAGCGCTTTCTGGGATTCAGTATTGGGCTCGCTTTCCTCAAATCAAAAATATCTGCCGCAGCTTCTTGATATGTTTTAATGTTTAACTCAAACTTAATTTTAAGAACCAGAAAGGAATTTTGCATAATGTCGAAGATCTCTAAACTGAATTGTATACATATTTCTTCAAAAGCTCTGTTGTGGATTGGAATGGAATGGAACAAAGTGGGGGGTCGTTGGGGTTTTAACATCATTCGTTCTCTGAGTTTCCTTGATACTAAACCCAAGAGCCATCTTCCATGCAACTTCTTGGAGAGTTTCTTGAGAGAAAATTTGGAAAACCGTTCCAAATGGTTCAAAACCGTTCCAAATGGTTCAAAATGAACAATTTTTCTAACTCTTCCAAAATTCACCAGAAAAATAAAATAAAAAATAGGGGTAGTTTTTGGACCAATACTAATCAATCAACAATATTTTGGTCAAAATCGAAGGTAGTCGGGTAAAGCCTTTTGATTCAGGCTGGAGACGCTTGCGCTTCACATAGAAATTCAAAGTTTTCATCGTGCTTTACTTATCAAGAGAGCATAAAATACGTGGTTATCGAGCGTTTGTCCATAAGAACAAGTCTAAATTGGCCTTAAAGTAGCAGTGGTAGTTTTGAGAATGGTCTGTGAGGGAGTAATAGGCAACTCATCTTACTCCGGTGTGTGGCAATTTCACCAATCATACAGCCTTCCAGTCATTTTTCAGTCACCCAGTCACAATCCAGTCAATTTCCAGTCAACCAATCATGTTCCAATCATGTTCCAATCTCTCCAGTCAACCAGTCATTTTCCCAATCAGCCAATCCCTGTCCAATCATATCCAGTCACCACCAGTCATTTGATTGGCAATCGGTGTACACATTTTTGGGGAGTTGCGGCCCCCTCGAATAATCCGCTCACACTTCACCACCGACGCGACGGGACGCCCTAAATGCGTCAGGTATCAGCAATCAGTAGAGTCCTCTGTCACGTACGCATCGCCTTATCAAATGTCGGCGCCACTCTGTAAAAGCGCTCTCCTAATGAGACCAGTCCGTGAGTCACCGATTTATTTGCTGCTCCTTCGAGTTCGTTCTACAATGTCTCGTTTTGAGACATTGCCACTGTGAAGGAATGTGCCGATTTTCCAAGCCGGCACCGCGTGTTAATTTAAATTAATCAATCGACGACATTAGCATTACATGATGACTCACTAACCACCTGTTGCTGCAGATTGCCGACGAGCGCTACCAGCGCGTCCAGGTCGAGCTCAAGCACACCGTGGAGATGCTGCACGAGGAGCAGGAGCGCGTCATCAAGATCGAGACCATCAAGAAGTCCCTCGAGATCGAGGTCAAGAACCTGTCCATCCGCCTGGAGGAGGTTGAGGCCAACGCCATCGTGGGAGGCAAACGCATCATCAGCAAGCTCGAAGCTAGGGTGAGTAGTATGGTTTGGAAAATGGGCGCGGGGAGCAGCGAAACGATGAGCAGAAATCTCTGTTTTAGTTCGAGGTATTCTAAGAGCGCGAGATACTTACGCATGTTTTGCTTCGGCCCGTAGATGCGTGACCTGGAGCTGGAGCTGGACGAGGAGAAGAGGCGCCACGCCGAGACCATCAAGATCCTGCGCAAGAAGGAGAGGCACGTCAAGGAGGTGCTCATCCAGAACGAGGAGGACCAGAAGAACATCAGCCTGCTCCAGGAAATGCTCGACAAGACGACTCAGAAGGTCAACATCTACAAGCGACAGCTGACTGAACAGGTGAATAACGCGATCATAGGTTTTGTTGATGTTTCTGGCAAGAAAAAAAAGACAGTCAGAAAAATCAGAAAAAAATCAGGAACAATTCAACAAAAATCGATTTAAAATCAAGAAAACAAATTAAAGAAATCAAGGAAAATCAAGAAATCCCTTTCAACTCACGTTTTCGTTCTCGTTCCAGGAGGGCATGTCGCAGCAGACCGTGAGCCGAACACGTCGCTTCCAGCGCGAACTGGAGGCCGCCGAGGACCGCGCCGAGAACGCCGAGAGCAACCTGTCGCTGATCCGCGCCAAGCACCGCACCTTCGTCACCACCTCCACCGTCCCCGGCTCCCAGGTGTACATGGTCCAGGAGACCAGAAGCACGTCCGAGACCTACTAAGCCAATGGTGTTAGGAGCGGCAGCGCACTACCTTTTTTTGACTTTGACACCAGACGTACTACTCAAAAGAAAAGGAAAGAAATAAAGATGGAAGGTTTGCGGTGACCATTTGAAAAAAAAATGAAACAATATACGCGTTATTTTTGTTGTTTATTTTCTCGTTACGTATTTATTTCATAGAGAAAGAGAAGAGAGAGGAAGCGGGGTCGCGGCCGTACGATCTCTTGTCTGACAGTTCGATTCCATCACAACATTTCTACACTCTTTCGATTATAATTTTAATTCTTTTAAAAATCCGATAACAGAACACCCTGAACACCACACGATACAGATGGTAGAAATGCCAGGTCGTGAAGGGCGATGGATGTAACGGTGAATGATTAAATGTAAATGTTTACGCCGCAAATGTCGTGTCA